GTTAACTGACGTTCAGAAAGGTGAAGTGACTGCCTGAGATCACACAACTGGATGGAGATATGACTAGAACCCCAGCTTCCAGATCATTTCTCTTTCTTTAATGTTAGACTTCTCTTTTAGGAGTCAGGACCTTCACAGTACAGTTTGACCCTTGTACAAACTGATTGTGGGGTATAAACCTGCAGTCTACATAGTAATGAGTAAAATAAAAGAGAGAGTTGCTGTCAAGTAGCTGTAGAATCTCCCAGAATGATGTCCTTGTGGGAAGAGCAATAAACTTGCAGGTACAGTGTGCTGTCTTGAAGCAAGGACTTTAGCCATGGGCAATAAAACAGTTGTGTTAGCCATAAAAGAGCTGCAAGTGGTTTAATGCTTTAACCTTTCATTTTGCCATTGGCTGAAGTAGAATGTAATTTTTACTTCAGGATTTTAAAAGAAATATATCTAGGAAAATATTACCAAGGAGAAGCACTGACTTATTGATTTCTTTGGTGATCTTTTTCATTTCTCTGATTCTTCAGTTTTTCAACTTTGATCACTTAGTAGGGGTAGAAATTGTAAAGATGCCATTTTTCCCATTGTACTTACTCTGTATCTTGTGGAGAGAGACCTTGATACTATGTAAATATCAAACTCTCACCCACCAATTTTAGCATTGATTGATGATTTTTTTCTGAATCAGTTATTATTACAATTGCTATCAATTAACATTCATATTTATCTTATATCTTATCTTTATATTTGCAAGGAAGAGGTGCTGTGGGAAGGCAAACCTGAAGGGCTCGTCCAAGGCAGGCCTGCTGAGCCCAGGCCTGCTGTTACTGCTTCAGGCACATGTATGAGGCACACCCAGCTGGGAATGACCAATATCATGATATTTTAAACCTCTTAGAGACTATCTGCTTTATGTTATGTGTGTATGTGAATAAAATAAAATAAGCTGTAGTGCCTGAGTTAGTCAAAGAGGAGTATACCTGCATGGTGTTAAAGTCGAATGATAGTATTTTCTTCATTGTTTTTTCCTGAAAAATCATTGTTTAATATTTCTCTTATTAAATTATTGCTTTATATGGGTTAGTTCTGTGATTTATATAGTATACCATGATAATTAGACTTTACTTTTTTTATTTTATAATTAGATACCACCTTTTTTTTAAACATTTGTCCTCTAGATTGGTTCAAGTCAAGTTATCTCAGTCAACATTCAAACTGAAGTTAATTTTTTGGTAACTAAATAGTAAAATAATCCTTATTTTAAAGGATTGTTGTTTTGCTATCTTAATTAAATTTTTTTTATTTATGTAAGTTTATGTGGTACAAGTGCAGTTTTGTCACATGTATAGAGGGTCAAGTCATGGCTTTTAGTGTATTCATCACCTGAATATCATACTTCGTACCCATTAAGTAAATTCTCATCATCCAACCCACCCCCACCACTCCCTCACCCTTCGGAGTCTCCACTGTCTAACCTTACACTCCCTCTGTCCATGTGTACACCTTTTTGTAGCACCCACTGATGAGTGAGAACATGTAATATTTGTCTTTCTGTGTCTGACTTCCATCCATATTGCTGCAAATAACATGATTTTATTCCTTTTTATGGCCAAATAATATTGCATTGTGTATGTATACCGTATTTTCTTTATTCATTCATCCATTGATTGACACTTAGATTGATTCCCCATCTTTGCTATTGTAAATAGTTCTGTGACAAACATAAGAGTGCAGATATCCCTTTGATATGTTGATTTCTGTTCCTTTGAGTAGGTACTCAGTAGTGGGATTGCTGGATCAAGTGGTAGTTCGATTTTTTTGTTCTTTGAGAAGTCTCTATATTATTTTCCACGGAGATTTTATTAATTTACCTTCCCAACAATAGCGTAGAAGCATTTCCTGTTCTCTGTATCCTCACCAGCGTCTTTTTTTCTTTTATTTATTTATTTTTTGAGACAGGATCACACTTTCTTGCCCAGGCTAGAGTGCAGTGATGTTATCATAGCTCACTGCAACCTCAAACTCCTGGGCTCAAGCAATCCTCCTGCCTCAACCTCCCAAGTAGCCAGGACTGCAGGCACATGCAACCAAACCTGGCTAAATTTCGTACTTTTTCTAGAGACAGGGCCTCACCGTGTTGTCCAGGCTGGTCTTGACCTCCTGGGCCTCAAGAGATTCCTCCTGCCTCATCCTCCCAAAGTGCTAGGATTACAAGCATGAGCTACCGCACCTGACTTGTTTTTGATTTAATGTCTGTTTTATTTGATATAGATATAGCTACTCTTGCTCACTTTTGATTTCCAGGTGCATGGAATATCTTTTTCTGCTTCTTTAATTTCAGTCTACATGTGTCTTTATAGGTAAGGTGAGTTCCTTCCAAGTAGTGTGTCATTAAATCATGTTTTTTTTTTTAACCCAGTCAACAAATTTATATCTTTTAAGTGGAGCATTTAGTTCATTTATGTTCAAGGTTGATATTGATGTGTGATGTTTTGTTCTTGTCATATTGTTAATTGTTTTCTAGTTGTTTTATAAATTCTTTGTTTCTTTTTCTTTGCCTTTGTGGTTTGGTAGAATTCTGTAGTGGTGCCATTTGATTTTTTTCTCTTTCTCCCTTGTGCATTTGCTTTACTAGGGAGTTTTATACTTTGTGTGTTTTCTTGCTGGTGGATATTGTCCGTTCTCTTCCAGTTTAGGATTTCTTTGAGCATTTTTGAAGTATTATGGTAACAAATTCTCTCGGCATTTGCTTGTCTGGGAGTAACTTTATTTTTCCTTCATTTATGAAAGATAATTTTGCTGGATATATTATTCTGGCATGGCGGTTTTTCTCTTTTAGCATTTCGAATATCATCCATTCTCTTCTTGCCTGTAAGGTTTCTGCTGAGAAATCTGTTGTTAGTGTGATGGAATTTCCTTTATAAGTGAGAAGACACTTTTGCTGTTTTTAAGATTTGCTATTTATCTTTGACTTTAGGCAGTCTGATTATAATGTGCTGTGGTGAGCTACTTTTTACACCGTATTTGCCAGGGCAATTGCTGAGCCTCCTATATCTGGATGTCTATTAATAAATCTTTCTAGACCTGGAAAACTTTGTGTTATTTTGTGAAATGGGTTTTCTAAGCCTTTTAATCTCTCTTCTTTCTTGAGAATACCAATAATTTGTAAGTTCGGTCATTCTGTTTAGTCCCCAGTGTCTTCAAACTTTGTTCTTTTTATTCTTTTTTCTTTATTTTTGTCTGACTGGATTATTTTGAAAGGCTTATCTTCAAGTTCTGAAATTCTTTCTTTTTCTTGGTCTAGTGTATTGTTGAAGCTTTCAAATATATTTTGTATTTCTTTCAATTAATTTTTCAGTACCAGAATTTCTGTTGGGAGGTTGTTTTGAATATGTATCATCTTGTTATATCTCTCATTCATATCCTGAATTAATTTTCTGAGATCTTTGTATCAGTTTTTAAATTTCTCTTGCATCTCATTGATCTTGTCTAAAAATCAATATTTTTAATTTTTTTTTTTTTTTTGGTTTCAAGGATTTCTTTTCATTAGGATCTAGTGCTAGAGAATTTTTGTCTTCATTTTTGGAAGCCACATTACCTAATTACCTAGCTTTTTCATGCTTCCTATGTCTTTACATTGGTTTCTGTGCATCTGCTGTAAGAGTTTCTTCTTTTTATTTTTGAATTTATTGTCATTGGGGGGGAATTTTTTCTTGAAGGTGTGACTATGATGTTGATTGAGTCAGTCCTTCTGGCTTTGCTTTTAGGTGTCTGTAATAGTGAAGACTGTATGATTTCTTTGGCTATAAATAGCCTTAGTGGCATCTGTGGAATCCTCAGTGTGTTAGGGTATAGCTACTGGTAGAGGCTGTGGTGAAGTTCTGCTGTAGACTGGAATGCCAAATGGGCCCATCTTCAGGTTTCAGCAGTAGGGGTTGTGGGCTAAATGTATCTATCCTTGTAATCTGAGGCAGCGTATGCTGGCACCTGTGTTGGAGGTTCTAAGCAGGCTGAATCTTGGGGCTCTAGGTGTCTTTCTTGGCTGTCAGTTGTAGTAGTGGTATACTGAGCAGGTGGATGGGCTCTTAAGCTCCGAGCAGCCAGGGTGGTGTGGACAATGGCAGTAGCAGTGGTGGTGAGATGCTCTTATAGTTCCTGTGGTCTTATGTTGGCAGTGGTTTCAATGGGTTGTACAAGCTGGCCTCCAGTCCGGAAGGTGGTACTTGCAGATAGGAACCAGCTGAGGTTGTAGCTGGGTTCTTCATGTCTGACCTCTGACCCCTGGGAGAAGTGCTCACATCTCCCCAGTGGTGGATTGGGTTGTGAAACCCCCAGGACCAAGCAGCCACAGCACCTCTCATCCTGGTCAGGTCCTGGTGGTGAGGAGAGTACCTGGTTTCAGTACCAATGGCTGGAGCCCACACCGTGCTTGCCTCTCAGTTCTGGTTGTGGGAGCCCCTCCCCTGCCCAAGCCCCCATTCTGCAAGCTGCAGCCTGAGTCTCCCTAATGCCTAAGCCTACTACCAATGAGTACGGGACCATACACAGTTTGCTACGAGATAGGATCGGGAATGTGATCTTACTGTAGCTGCTTAGGTCTGAGGAAGGACATGGAACACTCCCTGGAGCAGTTCCTTCTCACAGTCTCCCGGCTGCTCCCTATGTTAGAATCGGGGGTTGGGAGGGTCAAGGTGCTCTCCCGTGGCCTGGATTATACTATTCCCCATTGGGAAAGTGGACTGCAGAAAGACACTCACTTACCCTCTCTCATACTGGGGAGTCACTCCCAGTCATCAGCCAGTTCCAGCCATGCAGGCTGCTTGTTTTCCTCCTTCTTCCCAGAACTCTCATGTTCCCTCTTGGATAATGTATTCAAAGTGTGATTGCGTACACACTATTTTGGTTCTTCTAAGTCGATGAGGTGTGTTTGAAATGCTTCTAGTAAGCCATCTGGGGGGGAACAAATTTTAAAAACCTTAATATTCTTTTTAAATGCTATTTGTTAGGATCCGTGGTGTTGGAACAGCAGCTACTAATATGTGCCTTGTGGCAACTGGAGGAGCAGATGCATATTATGAAATGGGAATTCACTGCTGGGATATTGCAGGAGCTGCCATTATTGTTTCTGAAGCTGGTGGAGTGCTAATGGATGTCACAGGTAAAATTATGGGACAGTGAAGCATTTTTCTCTCCACATTTGTTGGACTTTCCTCCACATATGGGGTTTAAAAACATATTTGATGTATATTATACCTCAGCTTTTAAGGCAAAAAGAAGCTATATAATTTTTTGCAAACTCAAAACAAATAATTAGGAGATAGAGGCAAGAGTAAGAGCTAATGGTAATGCGGGACTGATAATGATAAACGGAGAAGGCTTTTCAAATGTGAGTAACAGGAATTCCTGAGAGACTGCAAAGAGGTCTAGACAGTCACCGAGAGTCTGAGGCTTGCACCCAGAGCTCTTTGAATGGTGACCATGCTGATAGTCAATGATGGATGACTTGTACCATCACCTTCTGCCTTAGACCTGAGAAGTTAAATACTTGCTGTGAGCTGATGGTAAAATTTTTTTAAGTGAAGGTTGAACCCGGGTTCACAGAATTTACCAGTGGTCTAGGAGAAAGACAACAAAATATAAGGAAATGGGAAGGACAGCATTGAAAATGCCTTGGAGTCAAATTTTCTGTCTATAGATTCTCAAAAAGTAAGGAGGTACTAAGAATGCACAACAGAAGAAATAGAGAAAAGATATTTTCTGACTAGTGTAACTTAAGATCCCCCCTCAAACCAACAACTGATAGTTCTTTGAAAAAGATGCTTAGAAAATCTGTTATATACACCAAAACTTAAACATTGTAGTTATGTGACCGAGTAGATTTTTTCTTAAGAAAATTGAAAGTATTAAAATGTTTTGATTCACCATAGTACATATTGATAATACTTATTTTATATGAATTATTTTTGTACCAGATATAATGATTTTCCTAACTTGATTTGCTTTTAGGTGGACCATTTGATTTGATGTCACGAAGAGTAATTGCTGCAAATAGTAGAACATTAGCAGAAAGGATAGCCAAAGAAATTCAGGTTGTACCTTTTCAACGAGACGATGAAGATTAATTACAACTGCCTTATGTTCAGTCATAGTTGCTTGTGCCCAGATTTGCTGACTCAGTGATGGATATCTGTTTCAGATGTATGATATGCTCGATTTAAATTGTCTTTGTCTCGATTAAAAAATTGGAACATGGTCCATATTTTAACAAGACTATGTTTCAAAAAATACATGTAATATTTGTTTCATTGTTTTAAAAATTTTTTATGTAAGAGTGTACTTTAGGAAAAAGTACAGAACAGGAATATAGTTCATGAGATAAGCGTAACATCAACTGAAATACTCAATTAGCAATTTTGCCTTTCTAAGTATCTAAGGTCCTTTGAAATTTTGACTTACTGTATATATACATAAACACTCACAAAATTATCTTTTTTAAAAAAACTTTCTCTTTAGTTTCAAAAGCCATATTTAATTAAATTTTTAAGGATATAAAGAGTACTTCCTAGACCAAGGTTTATTTCTTTCCAGAGGACCTTATTTGTTTTATTCATCAGTATCTATATAGCACCTAGTATACTACCTGTCGAACAGTAGGCAATCCAAAAACAAACATTGTAGGAATGAATAATTGGAAGGCAACAATTCCTAGTTATAATAGTACATAAAGTAATGAGCTCACCATTTTCTGTATTTTTGCTTCAGGTTTTGAAGTAAAAATTATCTAGTTCTCTTTTTTATATTTCATATTACCATACCATTTCACATTACCATACTGCAAGATAGCATTGCTTACTGTGGGTATTTCTGCAATGGATACATTTTCAAAGTACTTTGTTACAGTATATATTTGGATTTGCTTTAAAGTCCCTCTACAGGATAGGAGAAACTGTTTCCCAAAGCACTCTTCTCAGATATCTGAACTAATTAGATACAGTAGCATTTTATTAAATCCAATATTTGCATTTTGAAGATATTTACACTGATTTGGTTATGCTGGGAAATACACTATGCTGTTAATATTGACTTATTTGGTTTCTCCCCAAACTCCTTATTTAACTTTATTGTTGTTGGATTCTACTGAGCCTTTAAATATTCCTTAATAGTTTTTGGCCTATGAAACTCAAAAAAATTGTACTGGTTCATAGACATTTTTAAAGCATTAATTTATTGTTTAGCCCATGGCATGTAGACTGACTACTAAGTTTTATTACAGGTTTCTATCAACCTTGTATTTGATAAAACAAAAAGGGTTTCTTTAAAGATTTCAAAGTATGGGCTTATTTTATTGTGTGTACATCTGATTAAATATATATGATACTAAGATTTGAATATTATAATTACTGTATTTGTACTGTTGATCACATGCACTTAAAACATCTGATACTGTTTTATTCCAAGATAAGTTGTTTTTGAAATTAAATTTATTGTGATTAAGAAGACTATCATGAATAAAATTTTAAATAAAAAGTATAATTGGTGTTTACATTATTAAAGGTTATGGTTTAAATTACTTTTAGGGGTTTTGTGTTCAGTTACAAATATTTGAATCATGAAGTTGTAACTGAATATACATTTTTGTTTGCCTGTAGTTTTTCCAACTTTTCTAAAAACTTAAAAATATTTTTTCTTCCATAGGTAGCTTTTTCATCTTTTTATTCTAAATGCAACTGGATATTTTGTGCCTGAAATTTTTTTAGATACTGAAAAAGGATAATTGACAAGTGAATTACCCAACAATATTCGAAAATCTTTCTTTAATTAACAAGACTTCTTAGGCGTAACATGTATGTGTTGTATGCAAAATATATTATCTTTCTGTACGTGTATATAAACACATCTGTAAAATATATACATTTGAACATCCTTCCCTGCCCCCTTAAACAAAATTGAGCTCATTCTATGATATACTTATTCGTAAAGCACTCTTTGGTTTTATTATGAATTACTAGCTATTACTAGAAATGGTTTGCAATGTCTGAATCATTGGTTTGCTTGCGATACATATCATCGCAACTCAGTTGTCCTTGAGTTCAAGATCTAGTCTAGAGCCTAAGACGCCATGTTTAAAGAAAGAAAAATAATAATCATTTTGAATCATTTCCTTTTGCTTCAGGTCCCTATCTTTACCCTGGCTTATTTAGAAAAAATATGTACTTTTTATTATCTAATTAATACATACACATAGTTTAAAATTTCACATAGTACTACAGAACTCAGAATGAAAAACAGCATTTTCCTATTCCATTCTAACCCACCCCTGAGTCTTTTAGCAGCTGTTTCTGGTATTTACTTCCATCTTTTTAAAGGATAGCTGTGTTCTACTGCATCATTATATATTGGCTTTACTCATTCTCCATCAGCTTGCTATTATGGAGGAAGAACCCATGAGTTACCTTTCCTCCTTTCCATCCTTCTACCATAGTAATATATAAATTTTTTGTTAAAGTAATATCATTGTTTAACTTACGACTTTTGTTCTCTGGTTAGCTAACAATTATTGCATCATGATTATAGTTTCTTTCCTGTGCAACTTCTTGTTCTTTCTAAAATTAAAAAATGTCCCATAGGATTGTAAAAATGTTTTATTTTCCATTTGTTCACCATACTCAGATATTCTGTTCTATTAGTAATATTTCTTTTCTTTCTGGAGATGGATCTTTTGTGGCCCTTTTTCCTTTTCTTCTGTCTGAATTAGTTCCTGGCCAGGTGTGCTGCGTAGGCCTTCAGGCCTTTGCTTCTCTTACGTTGAATCTTCTGTGTCCTGGCCTCATTCCCGACTCATTTTGGTGAACCCATCTTCTGGGTGTTTTCTGTGAAAAGGTACTTGGGAGGTAAAATTTTGTGATTTTTCCATGTCAGAAAATGTGTATTCTTTCTTACTTCATTGATAGTTTGGCTAGGTCTAGAATTCTAGGTTGAAAATAAGTTTTCTTTCAGAATATTTAAAGCATTGCTTCACTCTTAGCTTTAAGCATTTTTGATGAGAAATTGACCTGATGGTCAGTCCAGAAAAATTCTTTTCTCTGGAAGATTTTAGGATTTTCTCTTTATTTTTGGAGTTTTCTAACTTCCCTATGATAAGCATTGATTTGTATCTTTTTCATTCTTTGTGTTAATTATTTTGTTTTCATTCTGGAAATTCCGCAAGTCTTTAGTGTTTTGTTTCTTTGATAATCCCCCTCTTCCTTAGTCTGTCTTCTCTTTCTAGAATTTCTATTCAGGTGTTGAACCTAGTACATTATCAGCTTATTTCCTCTGTTAATATCTCTTCGCTTTTGCTTCTAAGAGATTTCCATAACTTTATTTTCCAACCCATCTATTAACATTTTTAAAGCCCCCTGTTTTATTTCATTGATTACATATGCTCTCTTTCTTAGGCTATATTCTTTTATATATTTAAATGTTATTCTAACCCCTACATTGTCCTTTTCAAGTTCCTCAGTCTTTAGTTGTTGAATTTTGCTTGTTTGTTTTAGTTTGATCTTTTTCATTTTTGAGCATCCTCAACTATCTAAGGATTGTCTAGAAAATGTAATTTGTGGGATGAAGGTAAAACATTGTTTATAGAAAAATCTGTAGCCTTAGATACAAAGCAAGGAAACAAAGTAGAGGGATTTATTGGTAGAAATAAAAGTAATCCATAGTCTATGTGATTGTGGACTTAGAAAATCCAAATGAATCTGCAAAGCATTTGAATTCATGTCTTTAGTGATATCACTGGAGATAAAGAGGGTCAATGTACAAAAATCACCTGCCTTTGTAAAGCCAGCAACACATAAGAGAGCATTTAGTGAACATAACATTTACAGTAATATTTTAAAAAGCCATTAGATAACTAGAAAGTATTCTAATGAAAGATGTATAAGATCTCCACACAGAAAAACTATAAAACATTACTGAAAAAAATTACAAAGATCATAATAGAGTAATATACTATGTTTATTGTTTAGAACAATCAACATTGCTCGGATGGCAATTCTTACCAAATTGATCTATAGGTTTAATATAATCCCAATCAAAATCTCAATCATGTTTGAGGGAAGAAGGTAAAGTGGGAAGGTTGACAATTTATATGGAAATGTAGAAAGGCAAAAAATAGCTAAAACCATCTAAAAACAAAAAAGCAAAGTTAGAAGGCTAGACCACCAGATATAAAGACTTGTTACAGAGCTGCAAAATTAAAAGTTATATTAGCACAAGACTAAACAAATAGACCAATAGAACAGTGTCCAGAAACCAACCTAAACACATGGAACTATCTAGTTTATGATAATGATGTCACTGCAACACAGTGAGGAAAGGATGTTCTTTTTGATAAGTGGTGTGGAATCAACTGGATATCCATGTGGAAGGGGGGAAAAGAATATTGATTCCATCACACCATGTACAATAATCAATTCCAGATGAATCCTAAACCTAAATATGAAGTGTAAAACAAAGCTTCTAGGAGATAGCATATCTTTTTGACCTAAGTAGGAAAATAATTACTAAAGAGGACACAAAAAAGCATTAACCCTAAAGGAAAACTGATAAGTTGGGCTACATTAATACGTCTATCATCAACATACACCGTTAACAGAATCATAGGAGCAACCCACTGTGTTCGCAATACATATAGCTGACAAATTATATGGAGTATATAAATAACTCCTGTATAGCAATAAAAAAGATAAACTAGTTACAAAATAGGCAAATAACTTAAACATATACTCTACACAATAATATATTCAAACAAAAAGGAAATGTAAAAGTGCTTAGTATCATTAATCATCCAAGGAATGCAAATTAAAACAATAATTTTATAACAATACATATACCAGAATGCAAAACATAAATCCTCCATATACCAGAAAGAAAAACATAAATCCAGCAGCAACAAAAACTAAATAAACCCGCAACAATATGAAAGGTCAGTAAGCATGTGGAGTGCCTTGTCTTCTCAGACACTGTTGGCAAAGTGGATATTGGTATAACTAATATTTAACTAAAAATTTAACTAATAATATTTCAGTAAACTCTGGAAGTATCTATTAATACTAAACTTAATCATATGCTTGCCCTATGACCCAGCAACTCCACTCCTGGGCACTTA